CGCCCCTTCTCCAGCATGATGACTGAAGAATCCACCAATGGGTTATTTATTTATTTATTTATTTATGAGACTTATATACCACTTTAAGTGCAAGCACTCTCTAAGCGGTGTACACCAGTAAGCAAGGTATATATATATTTACATTGCCCCCAACAATCTGGGTCCTCATTTTACCTACCTCAGAAGGATGGAAGGCTGAGTCAACCTTGAGCCGGTGAGATTTGAACCGCTGACCTGCTGAACACAGTCAGCTAAAGTGGCCTGCAGTATTGCACTCTAACTGCTGCGCCACCTCGGCTCATATGGGTTATCTATATACGTTTTGTGCTGACCCTTGTACCAAACTGGGCTGTACTTTTTAGTGCTTCCTCTCCTTACTAAATATTGGCTTGAAATGTATGTGCTTTTTGCTAGTGGATTGTTTACTGAGATTTCTAAGAACATTGGTAAATTCTATTTAGTTGTGATTGCTGAAGGTACTGGGTTTGAAATATGCTCAGACTTGGATGGACTAGCTACTTAGGCCTTAATAGAAGATAACCAGTATTTAATGCTTTTGTCCTTCTCTGCTGTATTAAATTTTTCATTTTATTCTATTGCCTTATACTGCATTGCTATGTTCTCTTTGATTTTTAGCTGTGGTTCAAATACACAGATAAAAATAGGAGCTTCTTAATGAACAGATCTATTTACCGTGGTATATTGGAAGGTAGCTTAGGGGAAATGGAAGCTTCTAAACTGGTGTCAATTTTGCACTTGTGGGCATTTGGTGCAGTGGATTGCAACTAAGTATGTTGCTAATAACACACTTGCTGTGGAAATTAGGTGATTTTAACTTGGGTTAAATAGAAGAAAAATACAAGCTAAGATTTGCAGTCAACTTATAGATCTATCCTTCTCTTGCTGTCTGGTTCTTTCCTCTCATTTCCTTGCTCTCTTTGCTCTGTCAAAAATAACTGTGGAGGGATGGTGTTGATAAAGTGGCATCAGTAGGCATTGCCTTCTTTAGCCAGCCCTGCTCTATTGTACGGTAAAGGTAAGGGTTGCCCCTGTCCAGTTGCGTCCGACTTTAGGGGGTCTTGCTCATCTCCATTTCTTAGAGGAGGGAGCCAGCATTGTTTGAAGACATTTTTGCGGTCACGACATCAGGTGCAGAAACACGGCGAAACACGGAATGCTATTAAGTTCCCACCTCTTTTATCTACAGGTATTTTGACGCTTTTGAATTGCTAGATGGGCAAGAATGAGAGCAGCCTTGCACCCGACAAGTTCAGCTTCTTAACCGCTGAGTCATCAGGCCCCCAGGTCCATCGTACAGCTATCAGTTGGGGTATTCGTGTTACCTCTATGGATAAGGAGCCCATGCAACATCTGCCAGTATTTAGATGACAGGAAGCAACTTGTGAAGGCTGGGATTTGGTTTCCATGGTCTCTGCTGAAACACCACAAGTCATGGACATAGCAAAGCCTGTGTCAGGAGAAAATGGATCTCCATTAACATTGGATCAAATGCATGATGTTAGTGGCCTCAACCATGATCAGGAGAGAAGACTGTGTCATGAGGATGTGTCCTTAAAGAACAGTTATTTCGTTACTTATTTATATGGATTTAAAAATGACTCTTGATAACTCTCTGTCTGGGAGTTTGAGAATGAAGTGAATGAATTTTAAAAGGGATCTGGGATGCAAAATATTTTGAAGAATACAGGGCTCAAATATATTGATAAAATCATGCAAGAGGATGCATTTAAACATAATTTTTTTCAAACAAAATTTAGAATTTAGAATAGAATAGAGCTGGAAGGGACCTTAGAGGTCTTCTAGTCCAGGCCCCTGCTCAAACAGGAGGACCTATATCATCTCAGACAAGTGACTGTCTAGCCTCTTTTAAAAAATCTCCAATGATAGAGCACCCACGATTTCTGGAGGGAAGCTGTTCCACTGGTTAATTGTCCTCACTATCAGGAAATTTCTCCTTAATTCCAAGTTGCTTCTCTCTTTGATCAGTTTCCAACCATTGTTTCTTGTCCTTCCCTCTGGTGCTTTGGAGAATAACGTGACCCCCTCTTCTCGGTGGCAGCCCCTCAAATACTGGAATACTGCTACCCAGTCTCCTCTTTTCTTCTTTTCTTTAGACTACCCAAACCCAAGTCCTACAACCGTTCTTCATATATTTTAGTCTCCAGGCCTTTGATCATCTTAGTTGCTCTTCTCTGAATTTTTTCCATGTGTAAATGGTGATAAATAAAAACATCAGAAGGAGGACAATGAGAAAATGATTTCAATATCTTATTTCAATAATTCCTCGTGGTTATCTTAATAACCCAATGTTCTCATATTAATTCAGATTTAACAGTTTAAATTGAAAACAGGTTTTGAAGCAGATAAATATCTCTGATTTTTTACATTATCAAATTAGCAATGAGTCCTGTTTTAGATAGCAATTTCAGAATATTTGCACATGGGACAAAGCCTAGTTGTTCTACTTCTGGCAAGTTGAGAGCTTTCTGGTCTAGTATTACCACTGAATTAGCATAATGTCATGGTTAAATTAGATTAATCACAGATGAATTATTCAGTGCCACTGAAACAAGTTTTCTTCTTTAGAAAATCTATTTGGAAAACCATTCTTACATAGCAAGCGAAATGATGTAATATTTGGAGCACTTCGTTTTAGGTAATTTTCAATGATTGTTCCCAGAAAAACATGGAACTGTTCTCAGGCAATCACCTCCATTGAGTGATTTTGCTGAACCTCAAGTATTTGAAGTGAGATTTTTCTTCACTTGTTTGAATTCTTGGCTTTTCAAAACTGATTACCTTTAGCATGTCTTGGATTAAACCCTCCCAACTATTAACTTACTAAGCAAGATGATCTATCGGGGCAGCATAAATATATTCCTGGCATTAACAAGATCAAATGGAAGAAATGCAGTGGTACATGGCTGGAAGCCAAATATATATTAAATATTTAGAAATAATAACAGATATTTACCTTCATTGTTGGTGGAACTATTAATATAATAAAGAATACATAATGCCATGCTAATGTCAGACCTTTTTCTCTTTTGTTTCTTATTGTTACTGATGTTATATACTCTTGAGTCCATAGGTAGTCCATAGATAGTTGGGTTTAGGAGTAATTTGGATTACTGTATATTGCTGCCTGTTCCATATGCTGTACTAATTTGGATTACGTTCTATTCTTAGATTACTGTGCTCTTCGTCATCCTTGATGACCAATCTTACTGAGCATTCCCCTCCCTCATGTCTCACATAGTGATGATGAATCTTTATTTGTACAATTGAAAATGTCAAGTTTCCAGAAACACAATTTGAGATGAGCGTTTCTAAATATTATATATGTTATTTCATAAAGTTTATGTGGTGGAACAGAGGTTAGAATGCAGCATTGCAGGCTGACTCTGTCCACTGCCAGGAGTTTGACCCTGACTGGCTCAAGGTTGACTCAGCCTCCCATCTTTCCGAGGTTGGTAAAATGAGGACCCAGATTGTTGGGAGCAATATGCCGACTCTGTAAACAGCTCAGAGAGATCTGTAAAGCACTGTGGGGTGGTGTATAAGTGCTAAGTGCTATTGTTAAGTGCTAAAATATTGGTATCTAAATCTCTATATACTATCAATATTGCTATGCTGCCAGCTAGAGTTTACTCATGCACAAGACTTCAAACTCTACCCAAGAGGAGAAAAAATGAGGACTAAGATAAGATAAAGGATAAGGATCCCCATCTCTGTTAAGTGATAGGCACTTTGCATTTTGAAAAGATGTGGACACTCTTAAAATTAGATGTGGTTGTAATGGTATGTGGGATTGACTTTGAGAGACAGGAGGAAGAGCTGCAGCTTAGACAATAGTCAGATAAAATTTGAGTCCAAAGGAGGAGGAAGTCAGGCTTCTGATCTGGTCTACTTAGCTAGACTAAAAGTGACATATCCGGTATAAAATACTTATAGTTAGTCCTCGACTTACAATAGTTCATTTAGTGACTATTGAAAGTTACAACGGCACTGAAAAAAGTGGCTTATGACCATTTGATTTATGTGTGGCCTTTGGCTGTAATAAATTGATTGATTGACTAACGTACTAACTGCAGTGATTCATGTAACAACTGTGGCAAGAAAGGTCACAGTTTGGGCAAAACCCACTTAACAAATGTCTCGCTTAGCAACAAAAATTTTGGACTCAGTTGTGGTCGTAAGTCAAGAATTACTTGTACTTCCCTGTGTATGTGACTATCTGTAACTCTGGTTTATCTTGGTCTGTGTAGGTCAGTGGTTCTCAACCTGTGGGTCGGGACCCCATTTGGGGTTGAACGAACATTTCACGGGGGTCACCAAACAACGCAGTCCGCCATTTCCCCCCCCCTTTTCCTTAGCTGTGCTACTCCCTTTCATTCTATTGGCTTTTGAAAGCCAATAGAATAGACTCTCTTGAATAGAGTCTAATTCTATTGGCTTTCAAAAGCCAATAGGAATTGTCCAGACTGTCTCTGCCCTACTGAGCCCGCCAAAAGTCCCATTCTGCAAATGGTGCTGCACCAGTTGAGTAGTCCTCGACTTACGACCGGTTGGGGGGTCGCGGCATTAAAAAGGTTGAGAACCACTGGTGTAGGTAGATAAATATACTTCTATACAAACCACTGGACTGTAATAATGTATCCGTTTATTTTCTAAGAAGGCTTATGGGACTCAGAAATATAATTGGAAGTAAAGATGAAATTGAAGGCTGACATTTTTATTTTCAGCAAGCCAGCTTGCTGTTTCTTAAAGTTAAAAGAATGGTTAAAAAAAATAATAATAGGAAAGTCAGGTGGAACAGGGAGCTAGTGGGCCACAGGGAAGGTGCCCACAGAAGCGTTTGTGCCCTTAGCAGGTATATTGGGGGACCAACGATAAAGGCTTATGGATTAAGAATTATTAAAAGTATTTAACTTACTCAAGAAATTCAATTTATTTATGAGTTCATCTTTTTCTTCAAGAATGATGAAGTCCTCTTTCCATGTAGAAGAGGATGATTTTGTGCCTGAGCTTCAGAGAAGTATTCATCCCCGTGAAAGACCAGATTGGGAAGAGACCCTCAATGCAATGGTAAGGCATTATTAACAATATTATTTGATACAGTCTGCTTGTCATTAACATAAATGACCTTCGATGTGTAGAATTTGTAAAAATGCACTGATTAGTTGAAAGTAAGCTTGAAAATCATAAAATGTTCATACGTAGGGGAAGATAATGATGTGCCTACTGAGTGCATTCCATTAAATCATCTTAGATGGCATAGCTTGTGCTTATTTATTGTCAATAATGCTGCAGTGGTTCTCAGGCTTCATTAATTTTCTCATTAGCTATGATCCACAAAATGTGATCCCTCTCCTTGAGAAAATTAATCTTACAAGCATAAATATTACTAACATTATAATAATCTAGTTGGGAAAATCCCGATGGCATGAATTTAAGGTAGTCTTCACTTAGTGACCACCATTGGGACCAAAAACTCCTCCATTAAGCAAAACTGAGTGGGAAATCACATGGTCATGACTATGGCACTCAGTTTCACAGCTTTAGCTTTTTGTCTCCTAATCACTCCCCTGCTCTTTGGAATATTCACTGATGCTGTGATAATTGGCATGAATGGAATTAATGTTTGTATTTACGTTCATTGGTGAGAAAGGGGTTACAAGAGAGTAAGAAGGCACACAAGGCAAAATACACATTGAAAGCAGTGTGTTAATCCTGACAGTCGTGAGTGCATTACATAAACACTCCAGTGTACTTTCTATTGTGTGCTTGCTCACTCTCTTATAATCCCTTTCTCTTCAATCTCTCTGGGAAGTAGGGCAAAGAAAGCATGTCTGTGTATATATGTGCGCACACACACACACATGTATGTATATGTAGAGATCCATAATATTGCGAAATGGTGTATGTAAAAAATGGCTTATCTATTCTATACTGCTTTTCAATGCAGGATTATTTTCAGTGAGTAGATCTCATTATTTATTTCAAATCTGTAAACAATAAGTTTTATGTCTGTGTTTGGGAAAGGCTTTTCAAAATGCTTAAATTATAATGCTGTAATTCTGCAGTAATGTGAACATTAGTTGGAGACCTATATGCTTATTTATAGTAACTCTTATCAATGCGGAATATCACTGCCAACCGTTATTGTGAGGGTTGCTTAAGGAGCACCTCTTTTGACTAATCTTGTCTAGGCTGGGGTTTTGTACATGGATAAGAAAGATCAAAGCATCACCAGGGTTGTAAAGATGATTGGGAAGAAGGCACTGTAAGCTACTTCCTGTTGTTGCCAAGAAAACTGCTTGTTCTCCAGCACTGGAGATGGATAATCCACGCAGTGGGTTGAGACTGTATTCCTGGCCAATCAGATCAGTCAGCCAAAGTTGCCACGCCCCGTCTTGGACCATGATCCTCCAGTCTTGACTGATCTCGCCATGAAGACACATCTAGAACTTTTGGCTCCTGGGCAGGTATAGTTCCTTTCCATTAGGGGGGGATTTTTTCTAGTAGCTGAAATTGCTTAGTTTAAAAGTTAATTAGAGATAATTTAATTCAATTTAATTGACCACTCAAGCAGGGGGAGATCTCCCACCCAGAGCCACAATGGCTACAACTAGCCGTCTGGCTCTTGAACGGTCAATTTTAGCCAAGGGGGCTTGCTCACAGGGTGTAATTAGGGTCATACAGGCATCAAGGCGCCCCTCCACGAACCGTATCTACGAGGCCACGTGGAGAAGCTTCCAATCATGGTGCTCTAAACAGGAATTGTTACTCGAAGGGATCACAATTCCCAAGATCCTAGAATTTTTACTAGATGGCCTAGAGAGGGACCTCTCGCCAAACACACTGCGCAGGCAAATCGCCGCCCTCTCAACTATACTTTCTGCCAGCCCCGGTGAATCCTTGGGCAAGCATCCCTTAATACGATCCTTCCTCAAGGGGGCTGCAAACATCAGACCGCCAACCGTGCATAGGTATCCATCGTGGGAACTACCACGAGTCCTACAAGCTCTTACCAGAGCGCCCTTCGAACCACTCAAAACATGTGACATTCGCTATCTGACCCATAAGGTAGCATTCTTGGTAGCCATCACGTCAGCTCGGCGGATATCCGAGTTAGCTTCTCTCTCAATGAGGAAGGACCTGTGCCATTTTCACAGGGACAAGGTAGTCCTAAGAATAGACCCTTCATTCATTCCAAAGGTCAACTCCCTTTTTCACAGATCACAGGAAATAGTCCTACCAGACTTCTGTCCAAACCCAGCTCATCCCCTGGAGCAACAATGGCACACTTTGGACGTACGCAGGGCACTAAGACATTACATTTCACGCACAGCGGAATTCCGACGCTCGGAAGCGCTTTTCATATCCTTCAACCCTGCTACTAGGGGCCGGAAGGTCTCGTCCTCTACCATCGGTAGGTGGATTAGGGCATGCATCACGGGGGCATACCAGGCGGAGTCCTTGCAAGTCCCCAAGCATATCACGGCCCATTCCACAAGGAGTGCTGCCACCTCAGCAGCATGGGCCATGCAGGCTTCTATTGAAGAGGTATGCAGGGCAGCCACTTGGGCCTCGCCCTCTCCATTCATTCGTCATTACAAAATCGACAGGTACTCCTCTGCAGAGGCCTCCTTCGGTAGGAGGGTTCTCCAGCAGGTGCTAGACCAAAGTTGCACACGGGACCAGTCTATTCCCCAACCCAAGGGACAATAGGCTTTGGTATGTCCCACTGCGTGGATTATCCATCTCCAGTGCTGGAGAAGGGGCGTTGACTTACCTGAACGCCTTTTCTCAGCACGGAGATGGATAATCCACACCCACCCTTATAGACTAGAATAATAGGGTATATTTAGTGGAGCCAAAACGTCTTACTGTCAGTCAATGGCTGCGCTCGAGTCAAGACTGGAGGATCATGGTCCAAGACGGGGCGTGGCAACTTTGGCTGACTGATCTGATTGGCCAGGAATACAGTCTCAACCCACTGCGTGGATTATCCATCTCCGTGCTGAGAAAAGGCGTTCAGGTAAGTCAACGCCCCATTGTGTCCATACAGTTGCCAAGAGTCAAGCTTGACTTCAGGACAGCTTTACCTTTAAGAAAATCTGCTTTTCTTTTCTTACGATGCTGATGTCTTTTATTTGCTTTTGTTATTCAGGGATCATCAGGGGAACTCTAGGGAGACAGCAGTTTTTCATAGTGAGTTAACTGTTAATTGGTTTAATAGTCAAACATCTTCTGTTCAGATCTTTTCCTAGTGTTATGAGGCTGTTCTGCTTGTTTTTTTCTGATTGAAAATTAAATGGCTGTTAAATACATTTTTTTTGGTCTTATTTGAATATGGAAGTTTTAGTAATTGAACTACTATATCTTCATTGCAATTTTGTTCTTCTGAATTACTTTATTTTTGTTTGTGCAATCCTGGGAACTGTTTTTGCAAAAGTGGTGGAATAACAATGTTTTTCTTCCTTAGGAAATCTACATTGAATACAAATGTTATACTATTTCAAAGATACATTGGATTGTTATTAATAGAAAGTAGCAAGAGTGGTTTGCTTGTTGTTGCTTTTTTATGATGTACATTAAATACATGATTACTTTTTGGGGGTAAATATTTCTTTGCCCAGAAATAGCTCCTTTAGTGTTTGATTGATCAAATCTACTAGTTTTAGTTTAGTGAACATTACTCTCAAGTGTTTTTGTTTCTTCTAGCTTGAAATCTGCCATTTTTTCTTAAATTGAATGCCATAAATTGGGAGTATATGTCAGTTTTTCAGTGAATAGTAATCCTACATTTTAAGCCGGATGTTCCCAACCTAGTGCCTCTAGATAAGGGGTGTCAAACTGCCGGCCTACAGGCCGGAGGCATTATAGCCTAACCGCGCCCACCCCATTGCCGTCAATGGCAAAAAAGTCATGATATGTTGCAGCACATCACATGACATTGCTCTAGATAGCTGAGCATGAAGGCACTTGAGGCCAACACATCTGATAGGCTGTGTTATATTAATAATTTTTAAGTTGCCATTTGAACAAGTAAAGGAGAATGGGATACTTATTCAAGTGGTATTTTTTTCCCCAAAAAAAGTTAAGACAGATGTTTGTAGTGAAACTATCAAAATGGAGCATATTTAAACCAAAATTATGAATGTGGGATGGGGTCGTTGTGAAAGGTGTCAAATTGTGGAATAGCAGTAGCCAATATAATATACTGTTCCACTGAGGTCTGATGCAGAACTCCTCCAGACATAGAAATCACCACACAAACCAACTTGCTGAATATTCTGATCCATGGCTTGGGAGAATAGCCAGGTCTTTAAGGGTTTGTGGCAAGCAAAAGATTGGAGTCATCTAGATTTCAGGGTAACTTTCTCCATAAGGCAGGCACTGTGACAGAGGAGGCACATCTTTGCAATGTTGCCTTGTTCAGATTTGGTGGGATGAGCAGAAATTGATTAGAGATAGGCGGTCTTGTAAATTATCTGAACCGTACCTGTAATACATGAATGCAGCATTGTGTTTTGTTAATTTAGACTTAGCATACTATATATATACACCAAGCCTTCACATACACAATGAAGTGCTAATCTAAAGCAGCACTTCCTAGTCTTGGTACAGTCTTTTAAATGCTATGACGCTCTAGTTTTCTGCTACAGGGGGAGAAGATACTTTACTTCTAGAAACTCACCCAGTTGATAAATATCGACAGGGAGGAGTGTTAGAAACTGGATATTCTTTTCAAATGGAGATATGATGCCTTTTAAATCAAATACTGGTTCTGGAAATCTTCCGAGGGTCATTTAAAAAAAGAAAGAAATGACCTTCGGAGTTATGTGTATGATAATTAAGACCTGGCTCCTGCAGCTGTCAAATTTCCCATCACCCAGCTTCCTAGAAATAAAATAATGTTTGCAGTAGGCTTTTATTTTCCTCTCAAACGAGTCTTGTCATTGACATTTTCTGACAGCTCATGCAAAAACTAGCATTTCATTAAAAAAAAAAGTTCCGCAACTTTCCTAAATTCAGTGGTAGATTTTATCGTTATGCAGCTAAGTTAATAAAAAATATTT